GCCAAGTGAGTGAAGATGCTCTATACTTAAAATTGAAATAACGTTCAAGGAAATTTTTGAACGTCATTGAATATGTATGTTCCCGGCAGCAATTTTCTCCAGGCAATTTGTTGTCAACACGAAATTTCTGATTATTGTTTTGTATTTACAAATTTTCAACCCACAAAATTACATTCAGTTATCCCAACTCAGCCTTGGGTTTATCCTTAAAATATTCTTAAAAGTTTATCAAATTTCAGCCTCGACATTCTTACAAACTCATTGTTCTAAAAAAAGAAAGAGTGTAAACACCTTCTTCTGACGACTTCAGTTGCATGTGTTTAGTTGAGCGTCGAGTAAAACAAGCTATATATGGCCCTTTCAACGTGGCGGTTGTTTACATAAATGCTTACAAGTTCGGCTACGCTTGGATAGTGAAAGTTCCATGCTAGATATTTACATCAACTGGAAAGGATGATATTGTTCCTCTAGTCTTCTGGTCGGCTTCTTTTGGCCGACGCAAATATGAACGGTCACAAACGATGTGCATTTCTACCAGTTGTTCCTAGCCCGGCTTTAAAACTACGGACTATAAATATTTGCACTTTACCTTATTATAAAATAGGGAGCAGACTCAAGAAATGAAACGAATAATCGATGGGCCATAGAGTGAAGGAGCCCAACTATAGAATTTATTAATTGGCAGCCGTTTATGAAGTTTCAAGTATTAGCCGTCGTGGGTCACGTTCTCCACACCACGCAGAATTTGAATTGTCATTTCACGTCGTTGCTTTGCCGAGGACGACAAAGAAATGTACCAAGCATGATAAATAACGCAAGTGTGTAGTCACTGTGCTACTCGTTAAACCTTTTGTTTGGCAACGTTGCCGTTGCCGTTGTCGTCGGGGTTTTTTTTAAACCCTCTGATGTTTTTTTCTTTCTACGTGTAGAGTCAGACAATATGGCACACCCTTCAGCGTAGATGGTAAACGCGGTGATGCATATCGCATGCAGCCAAACGATTTCCACCCTTTATGAGCATTATGGTTCACTCTTACGAATACTGAATTTGGTTGCGCAGCTCTGCTAGTTATGTTATAATCTTATTTTGTTCACACCTCACAGAAGTATGACCATCATGGCCTCTAGGAACAAGCAAACCTCCGCAAGCTTCAACTGCCGTGCAGCTTTAACTCGTAATAATGAGTGCCGTCACGACGGAGATTCGAGTGCTTGGTAATGCAGCCTACCTCGTAATAAGACTTCGTCAAAACGACAAGTATAAGCTCATGACGGTGTAGATAAAATAAAAGCCCACTTACCAGGAAACCGTAATTCCAATATTCGCGCCGCTAGACAAAAAGCAGCAAATGCAATTTGTGATAATCCCAAGTAAGCATTAATTGCTATTTTGCCGGCACAGAGCGGAGGATTGGTGGCGGGTTCGAGGGGCGCAGTGTACAGCGGGATTAGAGTTTGAAATTATAACGCTAAAATTATAGAATATTCTAAAGAGCTTTACAGTGTAAGATTAAGATTACGGTAAAATTTAAAAATAACACAATTAAAAAGAAAAACATATTTTAAGAGTATGGCATGCTATACGGCTAATCTAAAAAAGTAGTTTTTAACTTAGATTTAAAAACAGTCAGGGTTGGACTTAGTCTTATTTCACGAGGAAGTTTATTCCATAGAAAAGGTCCAGAGTGTGCAAAGGCGCGATCACCAAATTTCATCTGTTTGGTTCTGGGAACTGCGAGGA